TCCATCTTTGGCTGCAGAGCACATAGTCAATCTGATTTCTATGTTGACCATCAGGTGATGTCCATGTGTAGAGCCGTCTCTTGGGTTGTTGAAAAAGAGTGTTTGTTATGACCATCGTATTCTCTTGACAAAATTCTATTAGCCTGTGCCCTGCTTCATTTTGTACTCCAAGGCCAAACTTGCCTGTTATTCCGGTTATCTTTTGGCTTCCTACCTTAGCATTCCAATCCCCCATGATGATAAGGACAGCATTTTTTGGTGTTAATTCTATAAGGTGCTGTAGGGCTTCATAGAACCGGTCAATTTCATCCTCTTCAGCACCAGTGGTTGGGGCATAGATTTGGACTATTGTGATATTGAATGGTTTGCCTTGGATTCGAATTGAGATCATTCTGTCATTTTGGGGATTGCATCCCAGTATTGCTTTTCCTATTCTTTTATTGACTATGAAGGCTACTCCATTTCTTCTGAGGGATTCTTGCCCACAGTAGTATACCTGATGGTCATCTGAGTTAAATTCACCCATTCCTGTCCATTTTAGTTCGCTGATTCCTAAGATGTCGATGTTCAGTCTTGTCATCTCTTTTTTGACTACGTCTAGCTTGCCTTGATTCATGGGTCTTACATTCCAGGTTCCTATGGATTAAAAATCTTTACAACATCGGACTTTCCTTTCACCATCAGATATATCCACAGCTGAGCGTCCTTTCAGCTTTGGCCCAGTCGCTTCATTCTTTCTGGCGCTACTAGTACTAGCCCTTTGCTCTTCCCCAGTAGCATATTGGACTCCTTCCGACCTGAGGGGCTCATCTTCCAGCGTCATATCTTTTTGCCTTTTAGTACTGTCCATGGGGTTTTCATGCAAAGATACTGGAGTGGTTTGCCATTTCCTTCTCCAGTGGATCACATTTTGTCAGAACTCTCTGCTATGACCTGTCTGTCTTGGGTGGCCCTGCACGGCATAGCTTATAGCTTCATTGAGTTACACAAGCCCCTTCGCCATGACAAGGCAGTAATCCATAAAGTAATCCTATTACATCTACATAAATCATTCCTGCTTTTAAGCTCCACTAATTTCAATTAAAATATTCCAATTGATCTTAAACAAATATATTAATAAAATTTGGGGTATCCCTTCTACAACACACATATTATTCCAAGAGTAACATTCTAATTTCATATATATTCCATCTCTTAATTCAATACTTTCTTCTCTTATCATAGATCTCTCTAATTCTTCTGCTATTACAATATAGTTTTCTATATAAACAAAGTAAAAAAACAAAAAAAGAATCATTTCGATCTGTTAAGTAAAATTTAACTCTCAACCAAATTAACTATTGTATCTAAAACAAACATATTATTACACCAATTGTTATCTTATTGCTTTCATTTACTCAATTAGATTGTCCAATCAGTCCAAATTTCTAAAGCCTTTTTGACCCAATAATTAGAATTTTTAAATCACATTTTTAAATCTAACTCTGGCTTTTTTTCTATACCAAGCTGGTTTCCGTAATGTCGCTTCTATGTCATCAAATCTCAGTATTTGAATACTAATGTTTATCAACAAATCGAATTGATCAAAATTCTCTTTCCCTTCTTCCAGTATCGTATACGCAATATAGTCCATTTTATTCCATATTATAATTTCAGCTTTCTTATCCAGTTTGTCATAACTTTCAATCGATTGCGTCTGGCTGTCAATTCCTGTTAATTTTGGCAATGGGAGAACTTCACTTATAGTCATTTTTTGATCTTCAAAATTCTCCATTTGTACATGGACTTGTGAAATATCCTCCTCTGTAGTAGTTAGTTGATTTACAGAGTAATTATTTAAGGTCTCAATCTGGGATTTTGAGTTCAGAATTTTTCTAAAGTTCAGTTGATCAGTGAGTTCTTCCATCTCAAATTGTGTACACTGTTGCATATAAAGTTCTTCTTGGCCTGTAGATTGGTCTTTTAAAATTTGGGGCTCAGCTTGTGATTCTAGAAGATGGTCTTTGGTTTTTCTCCATAACTTCATCTTCTCTGTCATTTCCAATATTTTTTCCAATATCAGCTCATAATCCAGTCCAGAATTCAATTGATCAGTAACTTCTTCTTCCATCTCAGGTTGTGTATACTTTTGCATATAGGCTTCTTCTCGGCCTATAGATTGATCTTTTAAAATTTGAGGCTCAGCTTGTGGCCCTGCAAAACAACCTTTAGTCTCTCTCCATAACTTCATCTCTTCTGTCATTTCCAATACCTTTTCCAATATCAGCCATAGTCAAGCTGTGGGCAAAGGTCCTCCATTTCCACAGCAAAAAAATCTTTTAAAGTTTTTGTGGAAACTATATTTATTAAAAGTCCATATACATCCGCCTCCACAATTTTCGAATCACAAACACAACCCACAGCTGTTTCCAAGTCTTTATCTTTTCTTACCTAGAAATTTCTTGGTAAAGTTCACATAGTGTAAAGAAGTAGCTTTCCTTTCAGATACCAACTTACCCTACATAAAATATGTTCATTTTCATGCATACATTATATATGCAAAAAGTCTTAGTTCTATACACACAAGATAATAAACTAATAACAAACATGCAAACTCTTTCTGGGAGCAGATCTTATATGTTGTAATTACCATATATAATCAAATACCAGGTGATTCATGCTTCCTGGCTTTAACTTAAGGTAAAAGCATACATTACTATATGTCAATCTGTGCAAGTAAATTTTACATATATCAAGTTAAATTATGTGGCATAATTTGTTTTATGTAACTGTGGAGGTATTTGAAATCAAGACATCTGTCAAAAAGATATTTTAAGGATATGATGAGTTGGATAAGCCAGAGTACAATTTTATATGATTGCATTGTAGTCTCCCTTTTCATTCTGCCTTCTAGGTCATAGGTTCACCAAAAATAAAATGAAATATTTCTATTCAAATAGTGTTACCTCAATTCTAATCAAGGACTTAATTGTATTAGGGCAGTTTACTAAACTGTGTAACTCTTCCACTGTTCCTTTCTTGAGTTCCTAATATTTGCTTCATCCTGAGAGCATAAGAAAGTAAGAAAACCTGCCGGATCAAACCAAAGGATATCTAATCCAGAATTGTGTTATTAAAAATGTATAATACATTTACATGTAATATATATACATATACACAGTGCCATAAAACAGATAATACAGTAACATAACTTACATTAAAGTTATTTATAATGTAAATATATATTTAATTAAAATGAAAAGATTGTCTATGCACTGTAGATCAAGAGTTCCTTCACTGAAAAGAAATAGCCAAATACAAATGCTATTTTTATTTCACAAAATTTGCTTTCCCCCCTGCCCTCAACAGTGTTTTATATACAAAGAAAAATATAGTGCATTATACTATGTTTAATGATGCAAAGTTAGCTCCAGTTAGAAGGAATCCCACTCTTTTTTGGGATATGCTCAATTAAGTTTAGAGTGCAATGTTCAGAGAGCATGTGAGCAGGTGGACTGCATTGCTACATCAACAGAAATAAAGTTTCCAACTGACAGGAACTAATTGTCCCCTTTCTTCTGTGTTCCTCAGATCCTACCTTGTATCTACTATTGGGCTGTACAACTTAAAGCAATTCAGAGAAAGAGAATAAGGATGATCAGGTTTTTAGAAATACAGTCTTACGAAGATAGAATGAAGGAACTGCAAATGTTTAGTTTTGGGAGCAGAAGATTGAGTGTGGTGGGGGAAATATAATAATATTTTTCAAATAGCTAAAAAAAAAAATCCCACACAGAAGGCAAGATCTGTTCTCTATCACCACAGAGGGCAGGACCCTGAACGATGGTTTTATATTACAGGAGTGCAAATTCCAGATGAATGTTAAGAAATATTTTCTAACAATAAGAACAGTTTGATAGTGAAACTAGCTACAACAAGGGGTGGTGGGACCCCTTTTCTGAAAGTATTCAGAGATTGATCAGCCATCTGTTTTGAATGCTGCAACTGCACTTCTTTGAGGAGCAGGAAGTTAGATTTAATCCGAACAACCCCATCAAAGCCTATAATTCTATCATTTCTCTAAAAGACCTTGAAACTGCCCTTACCAATGAAACCTCCACATGAACATATATGAGAGAAACACTATCTAAAGGCATCTAATAATAAAGTGATATGGTACATTTTATCTATGAATAAGCTCCATGAATGCCTAAATATACTATACACTCAAGAAACCTGTTTAGAATTGTCCAGTGAATGTTTAATGCCACAAAAAAGGAAACTTAATATACTGTTTTTTCTTTATCAGTGTCTATTACATTGATAATATCTGTAAATAGTAAGATGCTATAATTGTCATTTTAGAACATCATAGCTCACACCAAAATTGACAGAATGAAATATAGAAAAGAGCTGAAAATGTATCTTTAATCACCCTTTATTGTAGATCCAGATATAAGGTACCATTTTTTTTTCATAATTCAATTTATTTTGCTTCAGTGACTCTTTACCTGATAGCAAATATACACATGTTTTAAATATGTGGGGGAAACAAGGAAGACCAGTATATTTTATTGGACATGTCTATGTTGAAGTTTATTATTTCAGACTATGTGAAGGTGAGGTCTGCTCCTCCTAGTGGTGCCGCTGAATACTGCCCATCTGCCAAGGCGGTGCTGAGCTGAACACAGCCCAAACTGATATCAGGCCCAGGCGATAAATCCGTAGGTCAATTTTTTTATTGTAAGCTATGGATCTTCAGCCGACTCTGTCAAAATGCAGAAATGATCTGCATGCTGCATTTGATCATGTCAGATGGTGTTTGTCGATCCAAAAAGCGGATCCTGCTCCTGTGAGAAAAGTATTAGGAAGATGATTACGATGATTATTATTTCAGACTATATATGGAGGTCAATTGTTTTTGCATATCAACAATAGTATTGCATATAAAAAATTAGTGGATTTAATCATAATAATTTATCCATTATAGTTACTGTATATATCTCTCTTTTTTTTTACAGGCACTCAAGACAATGAACACAATCCTTCACTCTGCTTCATTTTATCATCAAAATGAGCTCCCCAAGATATTTTAGACTAAGAGAGATAAGTATTGCTGTCATCTAACAAGGTAGGTCCTTCTGCACAATCCTTAATCTTTTTGATAAAATCAATAAATTAACACAATTTCTCAAAGAAAACAGACCCTGCCCCTTCTACCTGTTATTCAATTCTCATTCCTTTTAAAAAAATCTGCTATTTCTCCCACTCCCCTCAAACAACTTGGTGTCTTTTAAAAAATAAGGATACACAGGGTTGAACAGTGCAAATAATATGTTCAACATCATCTAAAATCTTAACTGCCTTTTCCAAAAATATATTTCACATCTCCCTTTTCTGACTCTTTTCATATGTGTTCAAAACTTTTATTTGCAAAATTGATATTATAACATTACAGTAGTTCATAGTAAGATTCTTTTCACTAAACTCAGTCCTGATATTTACTTTCTCTGATTCACAGCACACTCTGTTGTCTCAACATTTCTTATTTAGTGGAATCAAACTTGAAGAACAAATAAAGATATCAGATATGAAGTATAGATAAAAGGCAGTAAAGAAAGAACAGCAAGACTGTTGCATCTTTTCAGCTTTGGATTAAGTGATGCTACAAATGACAAGCATTCTTCTCTGAGCATTTATTTCTGTAATTTAAAGCAACAGAATGTTAAAAAAAATGCATCTGATTCAGTGATCATATATATGCTTCTCAAAATGTATACAGTCCATTGAATATGATGTTATTGTTAGTTAATGTTGCTATTTAATGACTTGTCCAATTGCAAATGAAATTCAGTTGTTTTTACAGTGCAGGTATCAGGATTTTAATCTTGGCTAGCATTACTTGTAATAGGAAATGAACTGGGAGTTTCTCAATGGAACATAGAATCATCCATGAACTGTACTGATATAAGTCAAATGAAACAAAAATAACAATATGAGAACTGTAATAAATATATGTCATTTGGTCCTTATATTATGTTTCACTCTATTATACAGAATGCTGTATCTTGAGTAACTTCTTGCCTGATTTGTAGACCAATATGAATCCACAAAAAAGCTGCTGAATATTTCAAATTCCTTTTATAGTTGTGATTTCATATTTTCCTTTTAAACAAGTTTTCATCACAAAAGATGAATATACCAAAAAAAACCCCACCAAAACAAAAACAAAGGAACAATTCTGTTTATGTTTAAGAAAGTTTTCAGTACTTTGCAGAAAGTTTTAAATGGCATTGCTTTTATAATATTGCAATAAAGGAGGAGAAAAACTAGAATGCTTCAAAGATTTGCCAAATATATGAAAATTAAAGTGACAAAAATAACTTAGGCAATTGTATTATACATCAAATAGTTATATGTTTTTCCCCAAAAATTAGTTTTCAAGGCAATTCAGTTGGAGATAGGCATGTATTTTATGTATATATGTATATATGTTTACACGTGTATATATATTTGAATTGCAAATGAAAATTAAAAGCTATATTTATCAGGATAGTCAATGAAAGCAAATCAGAATGAACAGAAATACTTCTCACATAGTAGAAACCTATTTTTGCATCACCTCTGGTAATCCTATAATACAGAATGTTTAACGTGTCTTCTGGATAAGTTGAGTTGTCATTTCTAGAATTCCCAACCAACATAGAACAGTGTTGCCTAATTTACAATTTTTCAGTTTTAACTGGAATTGTTGAGATTTGTTCAAAAGTACAAACTTCATAACTATGCAAGTTTACAATCCCACCAAAAGGGACTTTTCACTAACACTCATTTTTAATAATAATACAATTTATTACTTAATAGATTGTGATTGAATTTTATTTTTATTATTGTTTTAGTTTACTTTCTTAACCTTACTGCTTTCTTAGCCAATTTAAGACATTTTTTATGGTTGAGAATGTGGATATAAATGATCACACAAAGCAAAAGTAAAAGTAAAAAACAAAAGCCAGGAGATTGTACATTTTTTTTTATTGACTAGATACATAAGTCCAATTGTTATCCTCCAAATGTTATCTTAGGGCATCTGTATACATTTCCTATTATTCTGTAGCAGAAGAGAAAGCTCAGTTTCAAGTCTGATGAACTATTTTGAGTTTGAAATGGTTTGGATTTGAAAAGGTTTACACACCATTGCCACCTTGTCTTTCTAAGTATTGGGTAAAAGGGAAAAGAATCTTTGGGTTCTTTGCAGATATAATTACTTTAGAGAATGATTTTCTGCACAATTCTTGCTAAAAACCATGAAAGACTCTGTACACAAGCACACATACTGTGCTTGGTTACAGAATAACTAACAGATGCAAGCTGAAATAAACTGTGGCCAAACATGTACAACTGACTCTGTGTTAACCCACAATCCACCTACACAGCCACAGCATCTCCTGTCAATTATTTGACTCAAGGTTTTAATAATCACTTTTCCCTTGAAATGAGCAGGATTTGCAGATAATTATGCAGTACATGCATATTATCACATTCACTGTTGTAGTTATATTTTGGGGCTCTCATAACATATATGTGAGATTGCCAGTGTTTGCATATGAATGCTGATGTATTCCAAGTCTGGGATTTGTATTTTAATAAATAGTAACAAGAGTCTCAATTTACTCATCATAGAAAGAAGAAAAAAAAAACCTAATTAAAACGTAGTCGTATCTAAGCCAATTTGTATGTGATAACATGCATTTCTTTGTAAGCGTTGCTTATTATTCATACAATCTTTTTTTGGGGGGGGGCATTTAACTGTTCTGGTAAAATAAGATTGTGTGAACATTTATTTGAAGGAAACTATACTTTTACTTGTTCCAGTATCCTGAGTCATAATTCTAACCTCACCAGTATGTACTTTAGCACTACCACTAAGTACACAACAGGGATCAAAATTCATTAAAAAAGTAATCTGAGTTATGATAGCAGTTCCATTTTCAAGCTATATATGACTTTTTAAAGATAGGTATTCATACACTATATGCCCATTTTACAATTTATACAATGATACATATATATTTTCATATTTTTTGTTTATTAAATAAGTATGCAAACATTTATTTAGAGCAAGTGGAACAACTTACCTCCAGAAGTTGTGGGTGCTCCAAACTGGAGGTTTTAAAGAAGAGACTGGATAATAATTTCTCTGAAAAATGATATAGGGTCTCCTACTTGAGCTGAGGGTTGGACTAGAAGACCTCCAAGATCTCTTCCAACTCTGTTATTCTGATTTTTATGAATGAGATGTCTCAAAATCTCAAACATTTGTGTAAGGGAATGTAGGATCAGTCTAATCACACACATGTTCTTCTTTGTTCCATATCTTCTTCAACACCTTGCCAGAGTAGTGTGGCTTTCAGGGAAAAATAGTTCTATTGAAGAACTAACACAGAAACTGAGACAAATCTTTTAACTACTTTTACTTCATATTTAGGTATATATTTAACTTGTTTTCTAAAATAAGTGCATATTTCTGATACATATGTTTGGTTTGGTAGAGCTCAGAATCTCATGAAAACCAACTAACTACTCAACTTTTAAGAAACCTCCGCTAACAGAGATATAATCATACCATTTTGGCAAAACCCTTTTTTTTACACAGCTGACTTTTGCTACACTGTTTGAGAAGAAGATAATGAAGGTGCACTTCATAAATAAGCCATAAAATTATCATTTTGCTTATGCTGTGTAATTCAAATTTATTATGGCACATTAGATTGATATCTAGTGGAACACAATGAAAACATTTTCAGCAGTCTGTATTAAAATTAAATTCAGCTCTGATAGCTAAATCTCAATGTGAACTTTTAATGGCTAGTAAAGTAGTAAAAATAAAGCATTTTTATGGGACTAACATATATATTTTTGAGAACCAGTTTGGTGTAAAAATTAAAATACTGGACTAGAAATCAGGAGTTCATCCCACTTTATGCATGTGACTTTAGGGGAATCATTCTTAGCGTTAGGAAGGAGACAATGGCAAATCTTACCAAGAATGACTTGAAGGCACTCTCTCATAATTTCATACAATTTTTAATCATTCCGCATACTATGAGGTGAAAAATTGCTTGGGAATATTTTAGGTATGATAGAATAAAGTTTTATTGCTTTAGGAGTAAACAAGATATGAATTTTGCCCAATTGTTTAACTCAAACTAAATCTGCCTTGCGCTAGGTTACAGATTAACCTTAAACAAAGATCTACCATTTCTACAAACACATGTCTCTTTAACTGGTCCTTAAATTAAATCCTTAGCTGCTGAATCCTACATTCATAACCACTGGCAGATTACATATAAAAGAACACAGACACTTTATTAACTGGGAGAGCAGATAGCCAGAGATACTATATTTAAAACAAGCAAATAAAAAGCATGAGATGTTTAATAGTGTGTTTGTGCATTCATGTCTATGTCTATGTATACATATAGACAGAGATATATTTTCACATTTCTCACTTTTTTTGTAGATTCACTCTTATACGTATCCTGTGTAAGATTCACAACCATAGTTATGATTGCCTATGAATAAAGGTGAATTTCATAGATATTTCTATAAAACAAGGATATTTGCAAACCTTGGAAGTTTGGATGCTCTTACCCAAATATTTCCACTTGTATTTCTTACATCTATGGCATATATCAGATGCATCTGAAACCTCTAGAAAGCATGAATTGCAGATAGTTTTGCAAGATAAATCTTATCTGCTACATTTTCACATCATGAGCCTGTTTCTTTTCTAATGGTGAAATACATTTTTTCATTGAAGCATATACTGTTTACAATGGTAACTGAGGCAACTGAGGCTCATCTAAAAGGGGTGGAGATACAGTGTAAGATGAGCAGAGCAAAACCTGGGCAGGCCTTCAAGATTTTGCTATTATATCTGCTCTAAAAATGAACAAACATCTTTGTTATTTTTTGTCTGCTGTTTTAAGCAAGTTTGTAACTTTTTGTATGTATGTTAAAAAAAACCCTGAACCAAGCTGTTAAGTCCTCGAGTTAATGGAGAAAGAAGAGCACGCATTCTGTAGCCAACAACTGTTTATTCTTCTTCTGCTCACTCCAACACAACTCAGAGGCTCGCAGGCCTCTCTCACATTAAATAGAATTCCCGGGCAAAAAGGTTACAACAGAAAATGGCGCGCTTTCATGCCTTGCGCATGCGCTCAGGCTGGCGCCACTTAGTCTGGCCCTGGGCAGCTTGCAACAGCCCGGGACCATAGCAGCGTCCCGAGCCTGCTTTTGCAGGCTCAGGACACAACACAAGCAATCTGATTACATTTGATAGATAGAGAATACAGTATGTCATTTAAAGATAAATAACTTATCAGGGTTAAGGTTAGGATTAGATTAGATTTAAGATTCAAAAAAACTAATTTTGCATCATAAACATTGTTGTACACAAGTTTGGATGGGACAGAGAATTTAGACACATTCTGAATGACTGAATATGCTAAATACCACTTTAGATTTTTCTAGGTTATGCATTAAATTAAAGCTATATCTTTATTAAAATGAGGCTTGTGAAGGATGCTAGGATAACAACAAAAGTTTCTTTTAACATGTCCAGAATAAAAGGAACACATTGGTATACCAGCTTCTCAGTAAACATGGTGAAATGCTAACAAGTAACAAAGAAAAGACAGCACTACAGAAGTTCTTTTTTGGCTCGGTATTCCCCAGCAAGAGGTATGTATCACGCAATACATACAATTGTCAAGAGCAGAATGAAGGAGTAAGATTGAAGCTTGAGACTCATAGTAACATAGCAATTTTGAATGTGTTTAAACCTCCAGAGTTGGATGAATTGTATCCTAGGATCGGGCTGAATAGTCTGACTGAAATATTATGTATTATCTTTGAGAAACCCTGGAAAATGACAAAGTGTGCTTCACACTCGAAGGAGGACAACTATTGTCCCTTTAAAATGGGGAAAAGGGACTACAGACAAGTAATTTACTTGATCATTTACAGATCAAGCAAAAAGAGATTAATCTCTAAGACCCTGGAAAATAATGCAGCTGTTAATAGAAATCACCATGAATTTGTCAGAAACAAGTTTTACTAGACTAACCTTATCTCATTTTTTTTAATTGGTAAACTTGGAAGAATGTCGAATAATTTGCTGAAATCCAGATATATTATGTCTAAAGCACACCCACAAAGTACTCCGTGACATTCTGATTAGATAGCTAATTAAGTATGGACTGGATGACAAGACAAGAAACTGGATACACAGTTGGCTTAAAAACCATACCCAAATATTTATCCATTGGAGTGCATACTTTAACTTTATAATTCTATGATAAGCCCTTTCAATGTAATATTGAAATGAATTGCCTGTTTCCTTTTTTGGCATTCCATTTTTACAATCTTAAGAACTTTTAATCTTGCTTGTAAAAACATGTCTAAATTTTATTTAATTATTATAGAAATATGAACAAACAAAATAATTATCCATCCCTAATCTGTCTCAGATCCCACTGAAGAATAACAGAAGGAACTACACAGTTTTTAAAGCTACTTCTTGCATATTAGCAGAACTAAGCATCTCAAGAGCTTGACAAAACTGCTTCTATCATGGATTATTTTAGAGATTGCAATATTTTAATATATAAGAGGTATGTAAACACAGGGAATCTATTGTTTGACGTTAATATAATATATAGTGATTGGATTTTAACACTGTCTCAATTGGACAGAAAATTCCATATTGAGTTACACATATATTTTGACATTATACCACTTTCTTTTCTCTTAAACATTTTTATACATCTATCAAATTTAGAAAACCACTCATTCTCCAGCATGATTGGATGGAGAACCCACAGATGGGTTGTCTTAATCTATTTGCTCCAATTAGACTAAGTCTGAAATTTAGTACCGCCCCCTCTGTGCCAACTGCACCCCAGTTTTAGACTTAGTCTCTTTGCCCCAAGACGCGTTTTGTCTTCGCTCCTGGAGCAGAAGACTATTTAATTCTATTTAATTACTCAGCTCAGGCTATTATTATTATTTGTTATTTTATTATTGATTCAGAATCGATTATATCTAGAAGAAAGATCAATTATCCCAGTCTGAAGCCTGTTCAGGCTGACAGACTCACAATCCTCTCCCTCTAGGGGGGGGGAACTTTTCCCTTCTTTGTTTTCCCTCAGTTAGGGACAGCAAGATCAAACCTTTGATTTAGGTCGTTTTCAGAGCCTCATCAAGCCTGGAGAAAGCCTTCCCAGGTCCCTCAGCCCCAGCAGAGAGCAGCAGGTGAGAATTTGGGCGCGGCCCAATTTTCGGAGCCGGGAGGGCCTGTCAGGCCTTGGATGACAGCTTTTCCAGCCGGCCTAATCACATGCCACCAGCTGCTTTAGGAGCCCAGGCGATTCACCCGAACGAGGGCTCGTTGCACCTTAGTCGCTAGGCCTCAAGGCCTTCTTCCAACGGCCGTTTTTTAGGGCGTGAAATTGGCGGCCGCCATTTTGAATTGCCTCCCAGAGGCCATTTTGGGTGTGGCTGAAGCCCCCGGTGGCCATTTTGTATGTGGTTGAGGCCCTCGGCGGCCATTTTGTGAGTGGCGGAAGTCACTGGCGGCCATTTTGTGGGTGGCTGAAGTCACCAGCGGCCATTTTGTGTGGGGCTGAAGCCTCGGCGGCCATTTTGAGTGTGCCTGAAGTCACTGGCGGCCATTTTGTGGGTGGCTGAAGTCACGGGCGGCCATTTTGTGTGGGGCTGAAGCCTCGGCGGCCATTTTGAGTGTGCCTGAAGTCATCGGCGGCCATTTTGTGTGT